TCCTACGTCTTCTAAAAGCTTTATAGTTTTACTTTGCAAATCTGTCTTTAATCACCCAATATTGATTTCTTGGTATAATATAAGGTAGAAATCCAATTTTCATTTTTCCATATGGATAACCGCATGTCACAGCATCATTTAATGGATGGCATCATTTCTCCCCAACTACAATGACATCTTTATAATAAATAAAATTTCTATAAATGCAGTGGTCTGTTTGGGGATTCTTCATATTATTATACTGGCCTACTTGTTCCTGCTTCAATTCCATGCCTACCTTTCAATAAGTGTTGAATTTTCATTGGGAAACTGTCTTCCTTAATCCCAAGATACACATCCTAATTTTCAGGCGTTTTTCTTGGGCTTTTGCATTTCTGTATAAATTTTAGGATTTGTTTATCAAGTTTCTCAAAAATCCTATTAGAGTATTTATTGGAATTGCTTGAGATCTAGATATAAAATTGGGAAAACTTTCATTTTTATAATATTACTTTTTCTCTCTACAAACATATTATAATTCATTTATGTAGGTTTTCTATGAAGTTCACAAATAAAATTTTACAGTTTTTTCCATAACAGACATGCAAATGTTTTGTTAGATTGAGTCTCAAATACTCTGCATGTTTTATTTTTGCTCTTGAATGTAGTATTTTTAAATCTTTACACAAAGCATGTGTTAAGTGTTATTTTTTTATTTTTTAATTGAGGCTTTCTTTTTTATTTGTATTTCTTAAATAGCCGTTCTAGGGTCACAGCAAAATTGAGAGGGAGGTACAACTATTTCTCATATATGCCCTGACCCTCACACACATAGCCTCCCTATCCGCCATCAGAGTGAAACATTTGTTACACTTGACAAATCTACAGTGACACATTCTTGCTTATTTAGTCAGCTTTTCATCTCTGTGACCAAAACACCTGATAAGAACAACTTAGAGGAAGGAAAGTTTATTTCAGCTCAAGATTTCAAAGGTTCAGTCCATGGTTGGCTGACTTCATAGCTCTGAGCCCAAGATAAGGCAGAACATCATGGCAGAAGGGCATGGCAGAGGTAAGCAACTCGGGACATGGCAGCCATGAAGCAGAGAGAGAGAGAGAGAGACAGAGCTCTGCTCACCAGGGCCAAAATATAAACCCCACAGGCACACCCCCAGTAACCTACTTCCTCCAACCACAACCCGCCTTCCTATAATTACCACCCAGTAGCCCATTCAATTTATTCATCAATCAAATGAATTAATCTACTGACAAGGTAATAGCTCTTACAATTTGATTATTTCACCTCTAAACATTTCTTTTTATTATTATTATTAGTTGTTCAAAACATTACACAGCTCTTAACATATCATATTTCATACATTTGATTCAAGTGGGTTATGAACTCCCATTTTTCCCCCGTATACAGATTGCATAATCACATCGGTTACACATCCACGTTTTTACATACTGCCATACTAGTGTCTGTTGTATTCTACTATCTTTCCTATCCTCTACTATCCCCCCTCCCCTCCCCTCCCCTCCCCTCCCATCTTCTCTCTCAAGACCTTAAAAGAGCATACTATAGGGATACTGCTACATCGATGTTCATAGCAGCACAATTCACAATAGCTAGACTGTGGAACCAACCTAGATGCCCTTCAATAGATGAATGGATTTAAAAATGTGGCGTTTCTTCACAATGGAGTATTACTCAGCACTAAAAAATGACAAAATCATGGCATTTGCAGGGAAATGGATGGCACTAGAGCAGATTATGCTAAGTGAAGCTAGCCAATCCCTAAAAAACAAATGCCAAATGTTATCTTTGATATAAGGAGAGCAACTAAGAACAGAGCAGGGAGGAAGAGCATGAGAAGAAGATTAACATTAAACAGGGACGAGAGGTGGGAGGGAAAGGGAGAGAGAAGGGAAATTGCATGGAAATGGAAGGAGACCTCTAAACATTTCTGCACCACCTAACACATGAGTTTTTCAATGGATACTCCAAGATCCAAACCATTACAGTTACTATAAACATGGAATGCAAGTTTTTGTGTGGACATAAATTTTCAACTCCTTTAAGTAAATACCAAGATGTGCAATTGCTTTGTCATATTGTAAGAGTATGTTTAATTTTGTAAGAAACTGTGAAACTCCCTTCCACAGTGACTATGCCATTTTTCATTCTCACCAGCAATAAAATGAAAGTCCCTGTCACACCACAGCCTCATCAGTATTTGGTGTTTTTAGTGTTCTGGATTTTGGTCATTGTAATAGATGTATAATGGTATTTCATTTTTTTTAATTTCCATTTCCCTCATAACATCTGATATGAAGTATCTTTTTCTTTTCTTTTCTTTTTCAAATTCAGTACTGAAAATCAAACCCAGGACCTAATGCTTTTCTATTACTGAGTTACCTCCCTAGACTCCCATCTCTTCATATGCTAATTTCCATGTTTGTATCATCTTTGGTGAGAAGTTTGTTAAGGTCCTGGGTTTTCGTTGTTTTTTTTTAACTGAGTTGTTTTCTTTTTGTTGAATTTTAAGAGTTCTTTGTATATTTTGAATAGCAGTCCTTTTTCAGATATATCTTTTACCAGTATTTTCTCCTTGTCTGTGACTTATCTGATTCTTTTGACACTGTCTTTTTGCAAAGCCAAAATTTTTAATTTTAATGAATTCTAGCTTATCCCTTCTTTCTTTCATGGAGTGTACCTTTTAGTGTTATATCAAAAAAGTCACCACCAAATCCAAGAAAGACCATTGAGATTTTTTTTCCTATGTTATCTTCTAGTTTTGTCATTTTTCATTTTACATTTAAGTCTGTGATCATTTTTTGAGTTACTTTTTGTGAAGGGTATAAGGTCCTGGTCTGGATTCCTTTCTTTGCATGTGAATGTACAGCTGGTCCAGCACCATTTTGAAAAGACTATTTTTTTCTCTATTGTATTGCCTTTGTTCCTTTGTCAAAGATCAGTTGCCTATCTTTATGTAGGTCTATTTCTGAGCTATCTCTCTGTTCCATTGATCTAATTGTCTGTTCTTTCACCAGTACCACACTTCCTAATAATGTAGTGTCAGTTTTCCAACTTTGTACTTCTCCTGGCAATAGTATTTTAGTGTAAAATTTTTAATTGATTTTATTATTTTTTTAAATACCCAACAGTGAAATGCATTACAATCCTCATTACACATATAGAGCACAATTTTTCATATCTCTGTATATAAAGTATGTTATCTTAGTGTAATTTTTAAATTAATTGTTAATAAAAAGGCAGTTGCTTTTTACATATTGATTAATTGCTTCATGCAAAATTATTATTTTTTTATTTTTTTAATTTCTTTTAGAGAGAGAGAATTTTTTTAATATTTATTTTTTAGTTTTCGGTAGACACAACATCTTTATTTTTTTTAATGTGGTGCTGAGGATGAAACCAACGCCCCATGCATGCCAGGCAAGCAGGCTACTGCTTGAGCCACATCCCCAGCCTATGCAAAATTATTAATCCTTTTTTAAAATACTTTATATACAAACAGAGATATGAAAAAATTGTGGTATATATGTGTATTAAGAATTGTAATGCAAAAAAAGTTCATGTATAAAGGCATAAATTGGCATGAACATACTTTATATTCAGCGATATGAAAAATTGTGCCCTATATGTGTAATAAGAATTGTAATGCTTTCTACTACTGTCATGTATTTAAAAAATAACAAATAAATAAATAAGTAATTTTTTTTAGTGATGAACATAACATCTTTATATATTTATTTTTATGTGGTGCTGAGGATGGAACCCAGTGCCTCACAGATGAGGCAAGCACGCCACCACTGAGCCACAACTCCAGCCCCTAAACTCTTTTATTAATTTGAATAATACATTTGTAGCTACTCTTGGATTTACTATATAATAATCACATTTTCTACAAATAATAAAACTTTGGTTTTTTGCCTTTAAGTCCTTTTATTTCCTTTCTTTTTTTACTTCATTGGCCTGGCTTCCTTGAATACAAGCAGTCAAAGTGAGCACTCTTTGTTTTATTTCTAATGTCAAAGGGAATAATTTCAACATTGTGCCATTAAGTATAAACATGATGTTTAATGGTTTTTCTATAAAGATGATCTATATCTGTTTAAGAATATTTCCTTCTATTACTAGTTTACTAGGAGAGTTTATTATAAATAGATGTTGAGTTTTATCTACTTTTTCTATATGTATAGAAAGTATCACATGATCTCTTTAATGTTAACTAATATGATTAATCATAGTAATGGACTTTTATGTTAAATCATTCTTGATTTCCTAAGATAAACCCTGTCTATTCATGATGTATTATTTTTATATATTAATCAATTTAACTTTCTGCTATTTCTTTAAGGAATTTTTAATGTATGCTCTTGAGTAAGATTGATCCATAATTTCATATTCTTGAGTGATTTTGATATTAACATTTTATTAGCCTTATAAAATGAGGAATAGGATAATCCCTTCTGTTGCTGTTGTCTGGGAAAGTTTTTGTAAGTTGAGAATTATTCTTGAATTATTTAGTAGAATGTACCTGGAACCAATCCAGGTCTAATATGTTTTCTTCATGTAAAAATTTTAATCAACTAATTATGTTTCCTTAATAAGAAGGATATCTTCACATTTGGTATTTCTTCTTGATTTTATTCTGATAAATTGCTTTTGAAAAGCAATTTACCTATTTTATGTGAGTTTTCAAATTTTAGGGGATTTTGTTTTCTGATTTGGTGGGTTTTCTTCTTGTTACTGTTGTTTGTGGTGCTATAGATTGAACTCAGGACCTCATGCTGTCTTCCAAATGAGAACTCTAAGTTCCTGGGAACCAGCAGTTATTTTCTGGGCTAAAGCCATCTTTGCTTTGCAGGAGTCTTACTTTTACTTTGTTTTTGGCATTAGAGAATTCTCTACTTTCTTGCCTGTTTAGCAATGGTGAGGTTGTTCAAAGTATCTAGTTCATCATATTGCTGGAAACAGAAATCAAAGCAGCTCTTACCTTTAGTGACCAAGTTATGACAGCTAAAATGACTTCCAGTCTTAGGGGTGGTGGTTAGCTCCTCACCACACTCCATGTGTCCATGTAGAAGGTTCAGAAGATGCTTTACGTGTTGTGCTGCTTGCAGTGATTCAAAGGCACACTTCCTTTCCTTCCTCTCCAACTCCAGTTCCACTTGTGTGGGACCCCTGCCCACAATGCCCATCTGCAGCCCTGCCTGAGTGCTCCACAGCCCAGGGGCTGGCACTGGGTCATTCCAAGGCTTCGCACATACTCCTGAGTCCTGGGGAAAGAGAAGCACAACCTTTTCCTCATCCCCTGTCACACTCAGCCACCTCAACACCGTGGCTGAGGCCACAGTCTCACAAAGAATAAAGGATAGTCACAATTGCACGTGCCAGCAGAAGCACAGCAGGGAACATATATGTGTAAAGAGTAGAGAGAACCTGCCCCTTCTAGCCCAGTCAGCTGTTGACCTGGCTTCCTTTTTCTAAGGTCTGATTTTTCAAAACAAACCAAAAATTCATATTTTAAAAAAAAATTAGCCTCCTGGCCCAGCTCATCTCACACCAGCCCCCCTTGCACTCAATAATCCCTCCAACGAGTCTCTCAGTCCCTGATGCTTTAGCCCCCACAAGGCTTTGCACAATTGCTACCATTCCCCAAAATGTTCTTTCCTCTCGTCTACACTTCTTTAACTCTTCCTTGTCTATCTCAGCGCAGCTCAAGCGTCGCATCCTGGAGAAGGGTTCTCTTACCTTCCAGTTTGCTCATATCACCTGTCACAGGCTCTTGTTGCTCAGGCACAGCTCCTTGGTGACATTGGTCACAATGCTAACTTTATTGTTGTGTGTGTGGTTATGTTGAGAAATCTGTCTCTCCAGTGCTTAAGCACCACAGGGCAGGAGCCATGTTGCTCTCTGTGCTCCCACTACCCCAACATCCAACATGGTGCACATGGTAGACACTCAATAAATATTCACTACTGAACAAACATGTGAATGGAAGCTTTCAGAGTAAGATTACTGCAGGTTTGTTTCCTAGTTCTGGAAATTAACTAGCTGTGCTCACTAAACTCAAGGCCACAGAGACTCCTGATGAACCATGAGACGGGTTCCCATAGGTAACTGAGTATTTAGACTTGTGGAAATTCAACTAACTCAGAGCCATTTTTTTAAAATAAAGTGTCCTATAGTAAACATACCATCCTTTGGGGGGTACATTAAATTATTACAGATATTTGCAGTATCAGGAGATCATGTCTGTAAAACCCTATTGCATCTTTTAAAAAAATAAACTGTGCAACATTTCAAGACTTGTTTTATTCTCATTTAAACTTCCTATCACCAAACTTGGATGACAAAGTAAAAATCTTTTAAAAAGTAAGATAAGGTCAAGCTGGAAATAATGAAAAAACTTCAAAAGCATAGGATATGCAGAACATGACAAGACGAAGATTACAAGACAGGTGTGCTGGAGCCCGTTAAGGACAGGTGCACAGGAGAACAGTGCTGCCAAAATAATGGGATAACCAGAGCTTAGCAGAATTTGCGAACTCTGCAGAGCTAAGCCCCACCAGGTCAATGCAGATAAATGAGCTGAGGAGGTTGATGAAATCGAAAGCATGAGAGAAGAGAGATAACAAGTACTTAAGAGGGGAATAAAGCAGTCTGACTGGAGAAATCAAGCAATTTATGGGCTCCGGTAGATCATTTTAGGAGCCTTACATTGCAGAGATCATCCACGCAGTGTTTCATCACCTCTGGGTGCTGCGACTCAGTCAACTAGAAGGTTCACGTCTGCATAAAGTGTGCACCTTTACATGTCATCGCAGCCTGCCTCGCTCAGATGCCCCATTGGCTCTCAGCCCCGGCTCTGAGTCATCCTTCACATCGTCTGCAAATGAGAGGATTTTCCTTTATTGTTTGGGCTCTCCTCCATGCCTTTCATGAAGGAAAAGAAAGACTTCGCACAAAGATCAAATCCATTACCTTTTTCTTTTCGGAATCTGACCTATGAACATTGTGTTAAATGAGTTACATGAGTTACTTTCAGGAATGAGGGAGAGCATGGTGCTGATTAGAGAAGAGTGCGGCAGGAGGCAGAGCTGGCTCGCCTGGCGTTCGACTCCGTTGTCAATTATTCAGGGGCTCATTATCCCATGCGGGGAGGGCTCCATTTCTCCGCTCTGTTTCTTCTTCTATTGGATGCCCAACCTTGAACCATTTCAAAGCAGCTTCCCATGAGGGCTAGTTAAAGGTTTGGGAAGGAATCAAAGGGTTAGCATTAGGATTGCATCTTGGCATGGCAAGACAGAGAAGAAATTGAATAAATTGGAAGTCAGGAGAGTCTTTGCATTTTAATTATTCACAGGGTTTTTTTGTTTTGTTTTGTTTTGTTTGCCTATGGAAAAGATTCAAAAGTTTACAAACCTCTGCTGTGATCTGAAAAATACATTCTACTTGCCTCTTCCATGAGGGAAAGACTTAGGAGTGTAGTTTCCTCTTTTATGCTAAGCCATTCTTTGTGTGTCTTTTCCTGAGAATAATTTTAAAATGTCTTCCCTCTTCCTTTTCACAAGCAGTGTTCAACTGGCTTAGCCATCTGCTTGAGGCTCTGCCATTCCATCTCTTCCCCAGACCCAGAGCTCTTTTGCTGGTCACTCAGTTTGCCCAGTTCACCTCTGCACCTTGGTTCTAATCAACAAATGGGTGTGAAGAGCACTTTGAACCTGATTCGTCAGGATTTGGTTTGCACAGTACAATAATTCACAAGATATCAAGAACTGGGTACTATATTCTTTTTTCTAACTTTTTAATTCAAATTGACATGTACATTGTATGTATTTTTCTAGTACAGCATGTTGTTCTAAAGTATATACATATTGTGGGATGGTTAAATCTAGCTAATTAAGCAATACTACACATAGTTACCATTTTTATGGTGAGAACATTTGACACATTCAATAGGAATACAACATATTGTCATTAGCTATAGTGATCTTACTGTACAATTGATCATTTTTTTTTAATATGGTGCTGGGATTGAACCCACGGCCTTGTGCATGTGAAGCAAGCACTCTACCAACTGAGCTATATCTCCAGTCCCTATACAATAGATCTTTAGAATTTATTCCTAACTATAGTTCTGTGTCCTTCAACCAACATCTCCCCATCTTTCCTGCTCCCCCAGACTTTCCGGTCTCTGATTACCACAGTCTCCTCTCTATATCTATGAGATTGATATTTTTAGATTCTATAGGAAATCCCATCATTTGTAATCCCATGGACAAACTTAGATATTCTATTCTTTAGTCTTAGGCCATTCACACTTTTTCTTTGGGGGTACTCTAAAGTCTTGCCCTTATTAGCAGTCACCATCTTCAGACTATGTCACTCCTCCTGTCACATGGCTGCTCTCCCCTACCTCCTGTAACGGACACGGAAATGGCATTGTTACCTCTTTTTCCAGGGAAGTCATGACTCTAACTCTTGAACTGTTCAACTTGACAGGATACTTGTTTTTTCAATATCTTCTATATTTTGGGATCTTGCACCTCTGCTTGAGCCCATATAAAATGCCACAATCCCAGCAGCAGTCTAGTGTCTCATTAATTGGTCAAGCTTGGAGGTGCATGGGCTGTGAACTGGCATTCCTCCTAAATGCCTAACGTGAATTTCCACCTGCCTGCTGATGTACAAGGCATTCATTTTCCATTTCCAATCAGCCACCAGTTCTTGTTATGCCATCTCAATGTCTTGTGTCTTTGTGTAATTATCTGCCAAAAGGATAAATATACACCTCTAGTCTTGAGGATCACGTCAGCGATATCAGCCTCTTACAGAAGAAAAAGATTCTTCAACTTGTTTGTATCACTTTGTTTGTGTTTAAGGCCTTAGGAAAATGACAGCCCAGAGAGGGAAATTGTAAGCAAGCAGATATAAGTTAGCAGAAAGGCGGATTAATGAATATTGGAAAGAGGTCATTTTTAAATGTGATTTCCTAGCTCCAGAAAGAGAGGGCAAAGGAAAAACTGGCAGATGCTCCTAAAATATCAGAGGAATGGTGGGCAAGCTGCTGAGTTAGTGCCCACAATTAACCAGTTAATGCAGAGTGTGCTCAGTGTTAAAGCGGAGCTGGTGTGCAGGAAGCCAGGACAGCTCGCTTCAGTCTGTGTCCCTCTGGAAAAGGACATAAGCATTTAGTAAGTGTAAGTCAAATCCCAAATTATGTATTCTCTCCTTTCCTTCATTCCATTGTCACTGCCACAATACAGACCCTCATCTTTGTTATCCTGAACTATTCCTGCAGTCAAATAGATCCCATCTGCCTCTAATTTCTCCCATTCATGCTTCATACAACCACCAAAATCATATTCCTAAACCACAGGTGTAATCAAATTACTTGTTTCCTCAAAAGTCTTCAACAACCTGCCTTTTTGCAGGTTGAGATCCAAATATATTCCCAAGTTTTTTTTTTTAAGAGAGAGAAGAAGATGATGATGGAGGAGGAGGAGGAGGAGGAGGAGGAGGAGGAGGAGGAGGAGGAGGAGAGGGAGGACAGCCTTCCACAGTCTGGTCTAGTGCAATTTCCACCCTCATATGCTATTCTAGTCTCTCAGTGTACACTCCAGCCATTGCTGTTTTCAGGACACACAGTGCCAGTTCACATTCCCTGTATTTCCTCATCCTGTTCTTCCCAAATGAGGTTTTCTTTATCTTTTTTTTTTTTTTCAAATTTCTGCTAAAAAATCCTTAACATCTATCAAGGACCAATCCTAACTGCACCATGAAGCCTTCCCCAATTTCTGCCTTCCACCTCCAGTCCCCACACTCCCCATTCAGTCAAAGGGCTCCTTTATTGGCATTGCAGTAACATTATTATTTTTTTTTGTACTGTAGATTGAACTCAGGGATGCTTAACCACGAGCCACATCCTCAGCTGTTTTTATACTTTATTTTGAGGTACAGTCTCACTAAGTTGCTTAGAGCCTTGCTAAATTGCTCAGCCTGGCTTTGAACTCACAATCCTGCTGCCTCAACCTCCTGAGCCACTGGGATTACAGGTGTGCATCACTGTACCCAGCGGTAGCACATTTTGGGCTACATTAATATTATAAAATATATCAAAGTAGAAAAGAGATTATAGAATACCTATGAACAGCTTAAACAACCATCATAAATTAATTTCCTCTGCAAATCCTTAAGAAACTGAGCAAAGCCAATATATTTGAGGCCTCTTTCACATCCCCTCCCACCTATCCCATAACCCTCTAGAGGTAACTCCTCTTCTGAATTGTGCTTATCATTTATTTGCTTTTCTTTAAAGTTTATCACTTATA